CGTCCCTGGGACTGCAACACGGCGAATCAACGTAACTGTTCACCATTTTAATCCTGAATCTTTGCAAAACATAATTTCTGGTACGCTGACCATTGAAACTCTTGCAGTGTATAAAACGAATGTGCCTGGCGTTACGGTGAGAGCCACATTTTGAAAACGACCCGCCCTCAATCCGTGAAACTCTGGCAATGTTTAAAACGAATGTGCGCGGCGCTAAGGCGAGAGCCACATTTTGAAAACCACCCGTCCTGAATCCGTGAAACTCTTACAAATGTTGAAAACGAATGTGCGCGGCGCTAAGGCGATGACCACATTTTGAAAATGACCCGCCCTGCATCTGTGAAACTGCTGCCAACGTTTAAGCTCCAGAATCATACATGGTAAAGAAATCTGAGGCGAAACGCCCGGCCCGCCCTTTCGACCGGCCTCGAGGTGCGACATGGAGAACTTATTGATAAGGAAAGGAGGAGAAGGAAGAGGAGGAGGCGGAAGAGGAGGAAGAAGAGAAAGCACTCGACGCCCGAAAGACACGGGCCCTGTGGGAAACGGGTCCTGGACCCCGAGGGGCCTTCCCGCAGGGCCGGATGTGCTTACATACCCCGAGTCGTCTCGTCGACGGTCCTCGGCCAGGCGGATGAGCAGCTTCGCCCAATGCTCCAACGAGACGCCGAGGCCCTCGGGGAAGCTCCGCCTCCACTCCGCGTTCCACTGCGGCAGGCCTCCGATCTTGTAGCTCCTCCTCAGGCCGCCGACGCTGGTCGCGGCTCCAGCGGTCAGCAGCGCGCTCGGCGTCACGCCCCACACCTTGCTCTCTTAAGCGAAGGCAGGATGAGGACACATCCGATCACATTCGGATGAGAGTCGATCGGGAACCTCCCGGAGCTGGCGGACCCGGAGGATGCCGCGGGCGCCGCGGCATACTCCGCCTGAGCCTGCCCGACCCTCCTTCCCAGTGTCGAACACATCCAACATAAGGGCTCGACCCGTGGGCGCGTTTTCCGTCCGTTCTGGAAGCCTCTCCTTCTGCAGCATGGAGGCTCGACCTCCAGAATATGGGGGCTGTCCTTCCTCTGGGTCCTCCTGTTCCGGTTCCTGCGTCTGCTCCTGCTTCTGCTCCCCATCGCCTGGCCCCGCGCTCTGAAGGTCGCTATCAAGGGCACGCGGAGGCTGTGCCGGAGGGGGAGCTTGTCTCTGAGCATGCCGTTGGCGTCGAGGCGGACCTTCTCGCTGTCCATCAGGGCGAAGAGATCCAGATCGCTCTTCAGCCATGGTCGTCGAGCCATGCGAAGGTCCAGGAAGCCCAAGAACAAGCATCCGAACCCTCCCCAAGCCAATTCACGATTAAGCTGGCTGGCTAACGAGACCCACCAGCCCGATGGAAGGTTGATGACCTCGAGTCTTTTGTCCAGTTTCCTCTGCCCAGTCCCTGCAACTTCAGTCCCTGGAGGAAAGATTTACTCTAGGATCCCAACATCGGGCCGTCGGACGCTGCAAGGGCCCCTGTTCTCTTCCCGAGAACCAAAGACATCGACAAGCAGAGCACGCCATGAAACACACGGACTGTCGCTCACGCTGGCCTCCAAGGTAGCCCCTGAAGGAGGCGAGACTTTCTGCCATGCTCCTCCTCCTCCTCCTCCTCCTCCTCCTCCTCCTCCTCCTCCTCCATCCTCTCCTCCTCCTCCATCCTCCACCTCCTCCTCCTCCTCCTCCTCCTGCGCCCGAGGGGCTCTCCCAAGACGCCCCCCCGAGCGGGCCCACAGACGGGCAGGGACGCGCCCAGGAGCAATCCAGGCAGCCTGAGGGAGCCCCCGAGACCCACAGTCGGCCCGTGTCATGAGGGTGCGCAAGAATCGGCGGCGACGATAGGGGCGAATAGCCCAAGGGCGGGCATTACACGTATTCGCCCGGGAGCCTTTTCGAAAACATAGATCGTCGGCGAACCTGAATACATGTCTTGCTCTCCCCTGGGCTATTCGCCCCTATCGTCGCCTCTGAAATAAGGATGCGAGGGCCTTGGACGCCCATTTCGAAGCCTTTCGAGCGGGGCGCGGCCAACCACAGGGGCTGAGGACGGATCGAGGAGGCAAGGATGCAAAGGTGCCCTTGGGAAGGTTGCCCATCCTTACTAATTATGCGGGTTGACTGTACCCGGAAGATCAAGAGACCTTTTTTTTTGAACCGGCAATAAACCGGGTTATCCCGGGGGGGGGAGGAAGGGGTCGGCCGATATCTAACCTTCGCGCTGTGGGCAACCCTGCAAATGCCCGCGCCCCCCCACCCCGGACCTGCACAACCGGAAAGGTTAGGCTATCCTCCCTAGTAGACAAAAAGTAGATACTGGTAATGTCTATCTTTGGTGCGCGCCTGCTATGGCGAAACCGCAAAGCATCTGAGTCGGAGCGCGCGAAGCGCGAATCTATTTTTATGTTGTTTTGATCTGCAATTCGTGTGACCAAATGAAAATAGGCACGTGCAAAATAGATACTGTTACCAAGAATAG